TCATTCATAGTTATCAAAAATTAATTGCACTTATAGGCTAAGCGGTCATTTAGAGGATGTTTGGAACCGTGGGTGTTTATTAAATAAACACTACAACATAGGCACTACTTCGGCATTCCTTCCTTATGTGAATTTCATATGCATAGGGACTTACAAAAGTAGGCTTCGATTTATGTGCACTTTTACCATTGGGGAAGCTTTATTTTAGCACTTTCCCCAATGGTAGATGTTTATTTACTATTTTGCTGATGTGGTGCGTAAGGGTACTAAGTATTAATAAATAGATTCGTTTTTGTTTTTTTCGGTTTTTCAAATAAATAAATAACAAAAACGTTTAATCAATAAACATCCACCCTTTCAAACACATACTTAGTATCATCAAAATAACCATACGATCAATATCAGGTTAGTAGGACGACTGAAAGCATCTACGCCTGAGACGAAGAAGATAATCACCACCGGAAAAGGTGATTTGGTGGGTTCACCCACCTCTGATAAATGCATGCTTTTTCATCAGTAACACGAGCCTTTGGGCGCAAGCTATCCATTCTCGTCGGCAGTGCCACTTTCCTGGTCGATACGACTCTTGGTGGCGTTGCTTTCAACGTATACATGCTTATATTAGGCCGTGTCTTGCTTGGAGTTGGGGTGGGATTCACAGGTTTGTGTGACGGCATCTCTGAGATTTATACTGAGCTCGAGTAACCTCGGCATCTTTCAATAAGTTTGTTGTTGGAACAGGATGGAGATGTGATGACATCTCTGATCAGATTTATCACTTTTGCAGGAAAATATAGGATATGGGTTTTGAGAAAAAACTTGCCACATGTAATTCATTTCATTGGATGATGAAGCACAAGTAACTTCGATGTATGACCCACCATTAATTTGATTGGCCGAGCTCAACTTTTTAATGGTTGTTAGAGAGAAGATAAAATTAAGTAGTAATTAATCTTCTTATATTGTGCAGCCGGTCACACTGTATCTGTCAGAAATGGCTCCGCCACAGTACAGAGGGGCTTTTAAGTTTAACAATGGCTTCCAGTTCAGTGTAGGCATCGGAGCCTTATCAGAAAATCTCATAAACTTTAGTATTGAAAAGATTAGAGGCGGTTGGGGTTGGCATCTCTCTCTGGCCCTGGCTGGCTGCAGTCCCAGCTCTTTCAATCCTAATTATTAAGCTGGTGACATGCATCTCTCATGTCCGCTGTGATGAATGGAGTTGTGGGTATTGGGTTGACGTTCATATCCTTGCTGATAGTAGATAGATTGGGCCAACGAGTGTTGTTTGTAATAGATGGAGTTCAGATGTTTGTCTCACAGTTGATGGTCGGAGAAATAATGGCTGCCAAACTCGGAGATCATGTTGGGTTGAGCAAGGAAGACACTTAGTATTGACTTTGATTGGCATATACGTAGCTGGTTTTTGGATAGTCTTGGAGTTCATTGGGGTGGTTGGTTTCAAGTGAGATTTTTCCACTGGAGATCAGATTAGCAGTAATAGACTATAGAGTATCTACAACTTAACGGCCCCTACAGCCTTGGAAGCCTAGAGGACAAGCTGAGGTTTGAGGGAAGAGAGGCTCATGGTCAGCCCCGCGCGCCATTCTGGAGATTGAGAGTTGCAACATTCTCCTGCGTCATTCGGGAGAATGAAGAGGGAAGAACACAACAAAGGCTGACTCGTCATTTAGGGCAGTTTGGTCATGAAAATTGTATTTATGTTGACATAAACATTAAAGCTCGGTTTGATTTGTAAGAAGATTTGGGTGAAACGGAAAAAGATAGGATGGGATGGGAAAATGTATTGGTATGGAAAAGTGTACAAGGGGACCAAAATGGCACTGTTCATCTTCCTCCTTCGTTCGACGAACAGAGGCGAATCAGGCGACGGCTACCCCTTTATCTCCCACCTCTGAAATGGCACTGTTCATCTTCCTCCTTTGTTTGAGACGAACAGAGGCGAGTCAGGCGACGGCTACAATGAAAAGATTCCAATTTCAATAGTTTCTACGTATTTACAATTTTCCTTCTTCCTCTTGGCTTATCACGAAGGAAGTTTTCACACAAACAAAAAATTCGTTCTTGATTGCGAGCGGAAAATTAAGAAAGAAAAAGATAAAGGCAAAATTTAACTTAAGTCGCTGAAATTTACAGACTCCAGGAAAGGAAATCAAAGAGAACATAGTTGGATACCTGATCAAACTTCCATCTATCCACCACTAATTATTTACAGAAAAATATAAATAAAAAATAAAACAACTGAAAAAGAAGTGGGGAAAAAATGAAAAGATGGGAGAGAGATTAGAATTTAGAATGGGTGAAGAGTTCTACTCAACCCGTTCACATTAGCAAAGAACCCAACGAGATCGGACCTGTATGGAAGGTATTATTTCCGCCGATCTCCCTCCTTTAACGCTCTATTTTTCACGTAGTGAATTTCATTAGCTGATACTACGTCAGAGACTCCCTTGGCTTTCGATTTTCTGGCTACCTTGACATCAGTAGAGTTTCTCCTTTCCTTCGAAACCTTAGGCTTCTCAGGTTTGTCGTCTTTTTTCTTCATCTTGGAAGAGTTGCTATTGGAAGGAGTCAAGAAAACGAAGGTATCCTTCCCGTCGCTGTTGCTTCGATGCAGGAGGTCCTTGAATTTCCAATGCTTGGAAGATCCAGTCGAGTTGCTCTTCTTACATCTCTCCGGCGACGCTTGAACCAGTTTCGGTGTCCAAACACAGTAAATACTGGGAGGTAACCCTTCAAATTCCTCGGCTTTGGACGAGGAAGACGATGGAGGATTAGGATCGCGTTCATCAATCAACAGCTTTTCAAAGGGAGTCGAATGGACAAGGCATGCGGGAGGGTGGAGGAAGACGACGGAGGATTAGGATTGTGTTCATCAATCAACAGCTTTCTCAAGGGGAGTCAAATGGACGAGGCATGTGGGAGGGAGGAAGGAGATGGAAATTCGAGTTTTCTTGAGTTTTCGCACCGGGGTTGTACTGTTTTGGTGCGACGCCGAATCCACGATTTTGGGATCTTCCATCACACCTTTTTCTCATCCCATCTCCCTCTTTTCCTCAAAATAAATATGAGAAAAATGAATATTTTTTACCCTTTTTCTCATCCCCATCCAACGGAGTAACGACGCTTCAACGGATGGTGAATTTTGAAAGGGTTATATAAAAAAATAATATATTTTATATAATAACCGAAATGAGGTATCTTTTTCTAAAAAATATCAAATAAGGGCATTCGTCTTCCTCTGTATTTGGTCGACGAATGCCCTTCGGTTAAGCCCAATCATCTTAACTGCATTATTTTTTAGAAGTGAGAAAGTGAATTCTGTTCCTATGGATTTGAGGTTGAGGAGGCGGAGCTGGTCGAGGTGAGCAAGTGAATCCTGACGTCGGTGCAACGGACGCCAAGCCATGAGGCAGAGCAGGCATCGCCAGAGGTTGCTGTGCGCGTCGGTCTGGGAGTGGAACTCTCAGGTAAATCGATGCACCGCCTCTCTTCGCTCAGGTCTCCAAAAGGTAGATGTCGCACCGAAACTTTGCGACAATTTCACCGGAATCAATCCCCTACATCCCCGAAAGCTCCACCTCGTGGTCGAGTTGTACGCGAAGCCGCGAATCAAGTCCTGGTTGTCACGGCCAAAGGGCGAACTTGATGGAGCAGGGCCATTATCACTGGCTGACTGAATTTAAAATTCAAGAGGAAACCAGGGTGACAGTCATAGAAACTATTGATCAAAGAAGTTGGAGCAAGAATTCTCCACTTGAAAGAGAAGTTGTTATCGGCGTTAAGATATCTCATTTCGCCGACGAGATGAGAATGCCCTTATTTGACCGTGTTCGTCTTAAATTTTCCGTTAAGTCCTTCTTTGCTACCGAAGAATGCCGTTAAGATGATTGGGTTTAATCGGGTATCTCATTTCTGTTAAAATAAGAGCATTCGCCAACCAAATACAAAGGAGGAAGATGAATGCCATTATTTGATATTTTTTAAAAAAAGAGACATCATTTCTGTTATTATATAAAATATATTATTTTTATTGATATTAAGGGCAAAAAGTTGCCCTTAACGGCTAGAAACCCATTTTGAAAACAAAAACTCATTAACATGGGTTTTGTGCATGTTTTAAAAAGTTAATGATGAGTTTAAGAGAAACGGTGAAAAGTCATGATGAATTTTAGACAACTTCTCAAAAAAAGAAAGGCTTGATTATAATACTAAAATATATACTATCAGAAAATTTTATAACCAATCAACTGGCATGGTAATGGTAGTAACCAATCATCTGAATTTTCATAAAAAATTCATGAAAGTTGTAATTGGTCAAAACCATTCCTGTATTATGTCTTACCAGCATAATAGATTTTCCCAAAAATGAAAGAAAAAAAAAGTTTTCAACTCTGATACTGGAATGATATGTTATGGGAAAAGCTTATGAACAATCAGCTAGTATAACAAAAAAGGTGATCGACCAAGTAGTATTATGATTGGTCCAAACTTTTCTGGTACCATGTCTTTCTGGTATAGATTTTCCCTAAAAAACTATACTCAAAGTAGAGGGGAGGAATATTTGAGGCTGGTGTCAGCCAATGGTTTGGATTTTGCAATATATCTATTGATTTTCCACGTCAAACATTCCCCCAATAATGGTTTCCTAACCACAACCTTCTATACAGTTACATCTAGCTCATGTAGGGTGGGATCCATGAATGTAGGAATTAGGATAAAGGCCACGTGGATTCAAATAAAAGTCTCTAGAAAAAAAAAAAAAAAAAAGAGTTTGGCATAGAGACAGTCAAAACAAATAACAAACAGATTCTCTCATCAATGCCACTTTTATTGCTCGCTTACACTCTTTCAGAGCCAAGGCTATATTTCAGTGGACTCTGGCCTTTCTCACGACCCCCCAAACCCATTTCTCCTGTTTGTTTTTCCTTTCTTTTGAACCCCAATCCTTGTTCTCTTGCTTTTCTGATAAAGAGAATATGCACAGATCGGCGAGCGCAACTCGAGTCTCAGATGAATTCTTTATTCAGCACTCTTCACCGCCATCGTCGTCCAAGGCTTCTCAAACTCACAATGTCAAGACAGCCTTCGATGACATCAACGAGATACCCACATATAATCCACTCTCAGATGCAGCAAAGAAAGAGAAACAACGTATTAAATTTGCAGAGAATGCAGTTCATGTGATACCCTTCGTCCTACTTCTATGTGCCTTGATTCTTTGGTTCTTTTCCAATCCAGGTAATATGTCTAGATCTCAATGATTACTTGTTTACTCTTCCTTTTTCATTTTCTTCTTCTTTTGCATTCCTAGGGAAAAATACTTGGTTTTAGAATCAATCTTTGCAACATATCTTTACTGTTTTTTTTTTTTTTAAATTTATTCTGTATACCTTTTTGATTAAGATAATAAGATCTCTGTGTTAATTTCCTACGTTGTTTCATACGTACTTTCATCCAAGGCCTTATTTGGTATAATTGTTGTTTTCTCAGAAAAAGCAACCATGCCTTAGAATTGATAAAGTACTCCAGGTTCTGTGCATACTGTATAATATTATTTGGTGCCTTATAGAGGCACTACGAAAAATGAGAGAGCCTTTTCTCCATTGCAAGAAATGTCAAAATGACATTTTCTTGAATGTTACTTTCACATAATTCAAGATACAAGTGTTGCTTGAAATGGTTTGGAAACTCTTAAAAAAAATACAAAATTTTCTTTAGAAGTTGCTTTCATATCAATCCAAGGTACAAGTGTTACTTGAAATGGTTTGAAAACGCTTAAAAAAATGCTCTACCAAACAAAAAATGTAGAAGAGAGGACAAAATGCAACATGAAGGTGACATGAAGGAAACGGCTTGGAGAGATGACAATTACCATTGCCATTAGCCTGTTTTTACCTGAAAAGTTTTGGGTTGATTAAACCAAATTGGTGAGCGATGTGTATTGTCGCATCACATGCTAGAATGATTAGAAATCACTTCCCTAGAGCAAGAAACACCAATTTTATGTTTCTGGAAACAGCCTCTAACACATGCATTTTAAGGCATGCTTATTTCAACAATAAGTAGCCTCAGATAATAATTTTTTTAATAAATGCCTCAAATAATAATAGTATACCAATTTATATTGATCAACCAAAAACGTTTCAGGTAGAAACATCCCATTTTCTTCAGATGATGAAACAAAGGTAACATCCAAACTTTTATCACCTTATTGTTCTATTTGATCTTGACCCTTTTTCCCCTGGAACATATTTGTCATTTCTCTTGATTTCATTTCTAAGATACTTGAATATCATTTATTTTGACGATAGTTGTTGCTTTCCCATACAGAAGTAGACATGGTGCATAAAGATAATTCAATTCTTTCTAGAGTTGAAGGGTTGATAATAGATGGCAGTACAGATGCTGATGAAAGTCAGATTGGCTTGCTATCGACCATGGAGCTGGACAACTTGGATCCACAAAAGCAAATGATAGATCTCAAAGCCAGAAGATTTTTGCGAAACAAAGTTGAATAAATGATCATTGTTTTCTGTTAAATGATGAAGAGTTCCATCAAGAGTATCCCATCTAGATTCATTCTTTCATTGATACATTATTTCTACAAGGGGAATACTGTCGAGAAGTATAGATGAACACCCTTTGTATTTGTTTCGATGTTTTCATGACTGAAACTTTTATATTTTTGCATCCCTGCTAAATTTTGAATCATCTCCTCATATAAAATGTTGATGCACTAGGCTCCCTCCTTCACAAAACTAATTAATTGGGAACCTGTTTCCCCTTCTTTCTAGAGGTTCGCAGTTAAAATTTGTGTGTTCTAACAATGGGCCAAGCTTAACCAGCTTAGGTATGATAATACTATTTCGAACAGTACATACCACTGGATTCTCCCACTGCAGAAGTGCTCCAACAAGATTTGCACGTATTGTTAATGGAAAAACACGGGTCCATCTCTCCTTGCAATAAGAGCTTAGAGCATCATCAAGTGATGCCGGGCCAACCTCTAGTGCATCTGCGAGCTTTCTTGACAGAACCACAGCATCCTCTAATGCACAACAAGCTCCTTGCCCAAGATTGGGAGTCATGGGGTGCCATGCATCACCAACAAGCACAACCCCACTAGTTGATCCTGAAGGGCTGACAACAGGCCACAACCATCGGTCCACTAGTGGTGTCCTAATGATTGTGTCATCTGGAGTTAAGTCTATGATATTTAACAGCTCTGAAGGCCAGCCTTTGATCATTTTTTGAGCTTCATTCTTCAACACAGATGGGTCTATGATCTTTTGTCCTGTAATAACATAAATGTTTCACTTTGTCAAACAATTTTGCTAAATCTTGCGTATTGGTAACAACTTTCAGGTTCTCATTTATTGGACTTTTTGGCTCAAGGAAGACATGAACAGGATGAAATTACACTACATGTACCAAATTCTATGCTGATTGTTGTGTGATTGGATAATACAGATGTAGATAAGGTAAGTCCAGGCAAACTAGTTAGATAGGTACCAGGACTTGGAAAGCAGATCTCCTACATTAGAAATTAAAGCATTTAGGTGATACAACTCAATGTTTAAAAATGTAGGGGCATGACATGAGGCAACAAAACCTTTCAAATGTTTGAGGCATAAACCTAATGAGTTGCCACTTGTTTAAGAAAAAAATTAAACTAAAATGATATACATACGATAAACATATTTTTATGTGGTAAAAGTACAAATATAATTATATACTCACATAAACAACAATTTAAGAATATTAGAAGCTTTGGAGAAAGCCATTACATCCTTAAACTATTTAATAGTTATTAAGAAGCCCTAAATGTTAAAAAATACCACAAAATGGCTTTAATATGTTAAGACCTCATTTTACCAAAAAAGACCTTATTGAATTAAATTCTAAATAAACTTTAGTAGGCATACCAGGAGATGAGCTATTGAAGCAGATAAACCAGTAAACTTTTGTGGGAGAAACTGGAACATAACCAGCACGCAAGCCCTTTCCATAGATATAGTTTACTTTAGGGTCAAATGGCTGGCCATTAGGATAGAATCCGAGCCCGCGAAAAGCACAATGTCCAACATATCGAGGCTCTGTGAATCCCATCCATTTTGCTATTGGTGACCGGATTCCATCACAACCAATTAGGACCTGTTACATTGTAGAGTCAAGAAATAATTAGATCGAATAATGACACAGTATAAAGGAACTATCAAATGGACAATTTCATTGTTAGCTTTGTGTGGACATATAAAATCAACATATCAAAGCAAATAGTTTTCATAAGAAATGTAGAAAGAAATTGATATGATTTGGATTATGCCCAACCAATATTAATCTTCTTCCCTAGGACTGTTTTGTATGCCTTTTTTCCTTAATGTAAATCTATGGATAGTGATGATCATCCAATTGGGTCAATTATGATCTAAGAGATATCCCGAGTGACCATTACCTAATGCTGGTCCCTCCTGTCCAGGGTCTTGGGAGGAGTCAATTGGATATGAACCTAATTTCTGACGTTTTAGCATGGTTTGTCATCTTAAACTTGAACTTGTGTTCTTAGATGTTTTATCCTGAGGTTTTATCGTTTAGCCAAGCAATGGCCCCTTGGGAATCTTGGTGGGGTTCCATTAAATAAACGAATCTCATCATCCTTCATTTTTGTAACAGTTACCACTACATAAATGAGTCTCAGACTTGAACATCACTTCTTAGATTTGTCAGCTTGAGGTTTCATCCTCCAACCAAGCAATGGCCCCCACGAGATCTCCCAGGTTGGATTACTCTCATTCCCCTTCATATGTGTAACAGTTACCACTACATAGTTGAATATCCCCATAATCTAAGCTTTTACCTCAGAGTTCTGGTAAGACATATAATCCTCTACAACTACATTAAACATGTTATCCATTATCTGTGAATATTATGAAAAGAGAGGGAGAGAGAGAGAGAGAGGTTACTTTTCTCATTTCATTCTCTTTCCTTGGTTACTCTGATGATAGAGCAAGATACCTTTGCTAGTATTTGGGTCCCATCCAAAAGTTGCAAAGAAGTTTCACCATTTTCATTCTTTTCAATCTTTGCCACTTTAGAAGAAAAACGGATTGCATCTGAAGGCAACTGATTAGCTAGAGTCTCCAAAAGTATTCTCCTCTCCACAGCACGGACCTCTTGGCTATTGCATCAATTAATTTGTGTAAAACAAATGGGGAGAAGTTTCAATCCACTTGGGCATTAAAGAAAAAGAGAGAAAGAGAATGAAGTGGAAGAAGTAAAGCTGAACTTTGTGGGATTTTCAAAGTTCATGGGTACTAGAAGATCACAAAATTTAGTTACCCTTCAGCTTCATCCTTGAATTTGAAGGAGCGCAGCTCCCTGCCATCTTCTGATTTTACAACCATCCTGCACAGTTGATAGCATCAAGACTTTCAGAAGAAGAATAAGGCCCTATAACTCCATTTTATAAATGGCATTCATATGCAATGCATGTGTTCAATGAAATGACTGACAAAACTGAAACTGTATAACCCTTTTAGATGATGTGAAGCACTGAAAGATTGCATTTTTTTAATCAATCATGAAACTTAGAGCTGGGATGAGAAATATAAGAAACTCGAGTACAAAATTACAAACAATTGGAAGAAGTGTTGGCAAGTAGCTGATACTCATTTGGAAGAGTTCATAGAAGATCCTAGATGTAGGAAGCTTCCACTTAAGACCAACAAACTGAGATAAGCTCAATCTGGAAGTAGGAAACTTTTGGCTTTAAGCTGGTATTGAGCACAAAATCCTAATCCCATCCCCTAGTTAAAATTGGGTTTGGTTTGAAGTCCTGGGAAAATTGATCCCATCAGAACCTAACAATATATAGTATTTATGCATTACACTTAATTCTATCTAAAACTGTAGACACTGATGGTGCATGATTTTTGCCTAGAGCATTGTATTATGTGTAGGAGGATGATTTCAAGTCTATTTTTTTTTAAATTAAAATATGTTTTCATTGTTATGCACTACACTTAATTCTATCTAAAACTGTAGACACTGATGGTGCATGATTTTTGCCTAGAGCATTGTATTATGTGTAGGAGGATGATTTCAAGTCTATATTTTTTAATTAAAATATGTTTTCATTGTTATGCAAGCCTAATTGAACCTGATCAAACCTCACTCGGGTTAGGTTGATTCTCAAAGTTGGGTTGGGTTATAGTTATAGGTAAACTATTGAGTTTAGAGATTCTTGCTTCCCGAGGTACAACATTAAGGAAAGTGCCCATGCTATTATCTCATGTATGTAAGCACACATATTGCAAGACCTCCACATTCTAATCACCATTATCCTTAGTATCCTTGAATAGAAAACCACTTTAGTGAATTAGATAGCCAAATTAGGATTTTGTTTTTAAATGTTTACTATAAAACTGGCAAACCATTAACCATGTAAATTGTACCCTTCAACCCCCTCTCCTCCCCGAATTCTGCTTCAGTCAGGGCAAAGCCCATTCGGGCAGCTTTTACTGCCTTGCATTGAGAATATCTCCGTACTTGTGTGCTTTATTTCATGGAGAGATATTCTCAATGTAAAGTTGCAAAAGGCTGTTAGAATGGTGTGGGCACAGATTTTCCCTGATAGAAGCCGATCTCCTCCTCCCCTCTCTTGGTTGATAACCAATAAGATTGAATTCTGATGTTTTACTTTTACTAGATGATACCCTTCCAACCTTAAATGTAGAAAAATATGCATTTAGAAACTCCAGATTATGATGCCTCATTATCAAACCTTTAATATTCAACAACTATAGGCAAAGTAAATCAGAAACCAACATGGATAAATTTGTTAAGATTCTACTGAAGGTGATCTGTGGAGCACCATCTCGTAGTGTTATGTTTTTACTGAAACTCCTAGTTCAAGTAAGAGCTTAATTGTGAAGAGGTGTAATCTATCTAGGATAGGACTTTACACACTTCTTAATGGGTTAGGAGTGCAAGAAGGTCTATATAAGGAACTCCTTTTTTGGTCCCTCCTTTTGCCACAACTATTGGAGAAGAGTTCCTATCACTCATCAATTGAAGGAAAAGGAGAGAAGGCAGGAGAAGTTCTAACAAGGCATTGCAGTTTCCAATATGAGATCTAGCAGTGGAGGATGACATAAACAATATGGACACAAGTAAGTTTGTTTTGTTTCCTATATGCCAGTACTACTGTGATTATCAGGGTGGATTTCCTACCTGTTTTGGTTACTCAAAACCATCCAGATTTTGAACATCTATTTTCTGTTTTCACTGCCATCTCAAATAATTATTCACAATGACAGCTCACAACTGAACCATATCATGCCAGTTTAAAACCCAGTACCAAGTAATTACCCTCTATGGTGACTCTACCATATTAGCTACTAGCTGCAATTATTGATTAAATACTTTCTCCACAAAGCACAACTTCATGTTTCTTATCTAACTCAAGCAAGATGCATATGCCTTTATGAAATTCATTACCAGGTATGAGATTGATCTTGTTTATGGAGACATCTGATAAAATTTGAATGATACAGAGAATACTATCATGGCTGCAAGAATTGCAGCTGCACTTTTGGTTTTCCCTTGTCTTTTTAAGAGATTCATACTTGCACCAGATCATTCTTCATTAATGCAGTCATAGGTCATTGTTTGCATTGTTGTGCACCAAATAAGTATGCTAACTGGGAAAAATAATTTTTGCATTTATATATCTTCTTGTTACCAAAGCAACTGAAACCTCAATATTGAATCCACATAATTACATTTTTATTTTGCAATTCATTTGGACTAGTAACTATCAAACACACAAGCTTGTTTTTCTTCTGTGTTCCAAGTCTCGTACTCTATATTCCTGGCATCTCTGTATTATTTTATTACCTCCTTGTATAGGAAAGTGTCCAGGTGTTCTTGCCAGCTTCCGTATTTTGTAGTAGCTTGTGTTTCAAAAGTGAAGACGCCAAAAAAGCGCAAGACCCTTGCGCCAAAAAAGTAAAGAGGTTAAGAGTTTACATGCTTGAATATGTTTTATATGTTATGCTTGATTTTATTTAAAATTTTTCATTTTAAATATGTTTTGCACGTTATGTTTATGTACTTTAATTTGAGATAATAGGTTTATTTTAAATTTTAATAAAAAATATAAACTTAAATTAAAAAAAACCTATTATCTCAAATTAAAGTACATAAACATAACATGCAAAACATATTTAAAACAAAAATTTTAAAATAAAATCAATCATAACATATAAAACATATTCAAGCATGTAAGCTCTTAATCTCTTTATTTTTTTCCCAATTGCATTACTTCAAATAGCTAATGTTAAACATTACCACTCTTGATTCTACGAGCTGCCTTTGTAGCAATCTCCTCAAGGAAAGTCCAAACAAGTCCATATCAGGGTCTTAAATTCTTAATCCTTATAAAAAGTTTGTATACCTTTAAGTGTCTTTTAAAAATATCTTTTATTAGGATAAATGAATGAGCAACATTGACCCTGATATGGACTTGTTTGGGCTTGCCTCAGGGGGGGCTTGGTCAGGGGTCTAGCTCCTAAGCATAAAAGAACAGAAAAAAATGCACAAATTTTCAAAATGTGCTCACCTGGGATGAAGCGCAAGGTGCACACCTAGGCGTACCAGGTGCATGCCTTTCGAAAGTGTTGCACCTGTGACCTAGCTGAGGTCAATACCCTGAAATGTGCCTTACCTGTGTGCCTAGTTGAGTGCAGGCATCTTGTAATGACCCTACATCTTTTTGCAACTGAAACTGTGAGTCAAGTATCAAGATCAACGCCTACTTGGACGAACTCCTGGTGATAGTATTTGGGTTGTAGGTACGATGCAAACCAAATACCTAGTTGTCAAGTTACCCTCAAATTGAGGTGACACAATATGCTTTTAAATGAAGCTACAAGCCTACAACATATTTATTCGTTTTGCTTCAAGTAAATATGTTTTAAGTATCAATTCGCAAGTGCAACAACTATAACTACAAGGTTTTCTGTCATTTATCACTTAATTAGTGGCTCAACTAGACCTAACTACTCCCTCAAATCGTCTGTTATATTCTATTACCAAGTAAACCCCTAAATCCAATCAAATTTTGGGAAAAAAAGAGGTCCTTTTTTTCTAATGTTATCACTCTTAAAATATAAGATTGGAAGGGGATTTCTACCCTTGAATTTCAAGAAATTGGGGCCTCAGTTCATCTCCAACTCCTAGTGCATCCAATACGCTCCATCCATTCTTGAAAAGCGTCAGGGAGGTTCCACTGGTCCGAAGCGACTCTGCTTGTTCGAGCACCAAAGACGGTATTCCAAGCCTGAAAACAGAAGAACTCGTAATTTATGAGAAAAAAGAATCTACTGAAATAGTGATTGATCTATACAGAAGACCAGGAAGAAAGAAAAATGAATAAACACTAAGGTAAGGGGAAATCATTTTAATGGGTTTGGTTCATCAACCTGTGAAGGGACAATGCGGTTGCGAGACCAGCAATTCCAGCTCCAACGATGACAATATCCTCTTTTCGAGCATCAAGGCTAGCTTCAGCAATTGATAAACAAATGGGCTTTGTTCTAGTTTGAGCTACTCTAAGTGAAGACTGTCTTCGTAGAAGTGTTCTCGTCCAAAGGCGAAGTGATTGAGTTGAACAGCAAGGTGAGAGGGGCGAGTGCAGAAGCAGAAGAGCTGAAGAGGTTCTCGCCATTGGTGAAGGATGCTCTGCTGTCCAGTAGTGCTGTGATCACATGGTATGGAGATGAGGCGATCTGCATTAATCAGAACCAGAAATTTGCCGGGAAGATAAGAGGGTGGGAAAAAGGGTTAATTTATAGAGATACCTTTGAAGAGGTGTGACACTTTAGTCCCTTTCACTATTTTTTATGGCACTCAACCCCTCATAGTCTTTTATATCATGATAAAACCCCTTTAGCATTCTTTTAAACGAGCCAATAGTACATGTTCATGTTCATGTATACATTATGTGCATTGATAAACTTCTCTAAAATTATAGAATGCTCTTGTCTATTTTAAAATATAATTTTGGTATTTTTTTCCATCTATACCCATTTAATATCACTAAAAGGAATATATTTTAAATTTTTTAGCCATTTAATTGGAATCTATAAAGGCCACTAGTTCCTCGTTTTCACGGTCTAACCGTCCGGTAAGGGTTTCAAAACATTTATATCAGTCATCCAAATGATGCATTGATATCCAAACTAATCTAGGCCATCCAAAAAAAAAAGCACCGCATTAACACAAGAACTTAGGCTATCAAAGTGGTCTCTCCAAATTTAGGGTCTGTTTGGTTTGAGGGAATAGGACCTTGGAATCGGAATCGAAATGGGTCATTCCGATTCTGGATGTTTGGTTGACCAGAACGGGAATGAGGAATCAGAATGCCATATGGGGGAATGGCCATTCCCAACCCCCTCCCCCGGAATGAGATTCCTATTCCACTATTAGTTTTCGTTTTTTTCTTTTTGGACAAAAAAACCCCTCTAATCCAACTTGTGATTGAGTTGCGGTGAGAAGGAAGAAATCCCATGCCGTTGTTGTTGCTGCCATCAACCCCATCTCCAGTGAGGAGGTCGATCTCTTCTCTCTTTCCTCTCTCTTCTTCTTCTTCTTCTTCTTCTTCTTCTTCTTCTCACATTCCCTCCCTCTGTTCTGTCCTTGCCGATGCAATGGTCATTGTAGTGGCAGATTGGACTGAAAATCCCTCTCTTTTGATCTCTCTTCCCCCATTTTCCTTTCTCATTCTCCCATTTCCCCTATTTTTTCCTGATTTCCTTTATCATTCCTAATGAGGGCGAATTTGGCCCTTCAGTGAAATTATGACACCTGGCACCTGGCACCTCATGCAAACCAAGTGCAGCCTCTTGACGACTGGGCATCTCGTCATAGGTAGCTCGGTATAGTTAGGGGCAGCTCGGCACTTATAGGTAGCTCGGCATAGATAGCTCACCACCAGGCAGTTCGCCACCAGGGAGCTCCATCATCCTCTGAGTCACAAGCCACCTGGGAGCAAATCAATTGATGAGGTACTTAGCCAAAAAGTTGGTACATCACAAAAACAAATTGGTACGTGACCAAAACAATTACATCAATTGGCGTCGTCTGCGGGAACAAGCTACAGAAAGCTAAGTTCTCATCCTACAAAAGCTAAGTTCTCATCCTACAAAAGCTAAGTTCTCATCTTACAAAAGCTAAGTCCTCTTCTCCTAGAAAGCTAAGTCCTCGCTTTTTAGAAATTAAATCTCTCGCTCTATAGTTTACATTTTTTATGAACTCAAAGACTATGCAGGGAGCTAACAGACTAAGTAACTTTACTTTCAATTCGGATAAAGCCTCATCAGTCCTCT